CTTGTTGACTACAAGAAATTTTACTTTTGCTTCTTTTTGCAATTGTTTTCTCCTTTTCTACCTGGTTTGCCCAGTTTGTATTAGACATATTGAGAGTCAAATTAACTAATATGTTTGTTTCTAGCCCAATACTGTTGTTGTTATTATTATTGTTGTTGTCAAGTTTCTTGTCGTTTTCTTTGTTTTCTTCAGTTTTTGTAAAGTCAAAAACTTTGTCGTAAGTTTGTGCTTTTTGGATCCCAAGGTCCTTGTCTTGTTGGAAAAGTCAAAGATAAAAAATGAGTTTCTTTGTAAAATTTTGATTTCGAATATTTTTCTGGAAGTGAACCGGAGAGAGTTTTTTATACTTTAATGTTTAATAAATACATACAATATCTTTAAAAAAGTTAATTTAGTTGATTAATAATTTTTCTTTTTAAATTCAATGTCTATCTATAAATTACTTTTCTAGTTTATTAAATAATATAAATATCATAATCTATATATTTAATAAATTTGTTCAAAGTTTTGTTAGCAATTTTTTTTCTTATCCTATCGCTATGGAATCTAATAATAAAAATATCTTTGATGATGTTATCAATTCTGAGTTTGAAAATAATCTATCAAGTTCATCAAGCAAAAAATTACTTGATTCTTCTAAAAATGAACCACAGTCTAAAAATAAAACCAACTTCAATTCTTCTGAAAATAATCAGATAGTTATGTATAGTTATATTTTCAGCTTCGAAAATTAAAAAACAATATATAAAATTATTATTCTATCTAAAGGAAAGGAGGCAGAGTGTGAAGCTACTTACAAATATGATATCATCTTCGAGTTAAGCATAATATTTATTCTCTAAACCAATTCAATAACTTAAACAATAAGAATTAGTTAAAAATTACTAATATGATATCAAATGTAAACCCACAAAGCACCAAAACAAGCAGAGCTTTGTAATGTTATAGTCGAATAGTTACAGATTTGCTTCCTCTAAATACAGATTTGTTTCCTTTAAATACTATTCATAAAAAAGGATATCATAAAATGATACAAAAATTTGATCCTGCATTTAAAATCCCTAGTAATAAATCAATAAAAATGATAATTGGACAAGTATATCAAATAGGTGTAGAACAATTAAAAAAACCAATTCAGACAACTTGTCAAACTGCAGCACTTACAACAGACTTATGGATAGCTCGAAGTCAAGATAGTTATATAGGTGTAATATTGTATTGGTTAACTCCTGATTTTGAAATATGTGATATAGTTTTGGCTATAGAAAAGTTTGAATATCTACATATTGGTGAACATATTAACCAATATTTAAAATCAAAAATCAAAGAATTTGATTTTATTAGTAAAGTTATCTGTATAACTACAGATAATAGTAGTAATATAAAAAAAGCTATTAGGCTTTTAGATGGAATTGAGCGTCTTGCTTGTTCTGCCCATACTTTACAATTAACAGTTTTTCAAG